GAATGAAATTTATACAACACATATTAGCTTGCATATATTTTTCGTGTTTAANTTATCGGGCTGTATGGTATGTAGCACCGTCTTGTTGAAATCAGATGTCGTCTACATCCATATCTTGAAATTTAAATATAAAAACTGAATTATCTTGTCACGATAGCGAGCACCATTAGCTGTTATTGCCTGCCCAGGCGCATTTTCGAAGAAGAATGATCCAATGATGCCTCCAGTTCAAAATCCGCACCAAACAGTCACACGTTGTGGATGAACTTGTTTCTCAACAATCGCTCATGAATTTTCTGAACCGCAAATGCGACAATTTTGTCGATTAACAAAGCCATCAATATGAAAGTGAGCCGCACCGCTAAAGATGATTTTGTTCGAAAAATCAGCATCCGCACTTATTGCTGTTCGATAATCAATTCAACGAACTCTCTTCTCTCTGCGTGGTCAGTAGGCTTCAGTTCTTGAGTCAATTTAACTTTGTAATCATGAAGATGCAAATCTTTCGTGAGAATAGGCTGTAGAAAGATTCTGGAAATGTCCAATTCTTTACCACGGTACCGGATTGATGTTGTTTGTGTTGATCGTCTTATTAAAGGACGACCAGAGTGTTTAAGATCACTAATTGATCCAGTCTCCCTGAATTTTTAGATTTCCAATCCAATATATCAAGTGGCTAAAACCATTTACAGTAACACCTACAGCTCGCTTCAAATTAATGCTATAGACATCATTTTGGACGAGGCCAACAACTGGACAAATTTCATAAGCAAGTGGTTTTTCTCAATGGCTACAGTATTCGGGATTTTCCACAAAAATTTTCAGGAGTAGAATCTATTAGTGACATTTGGCCCATTAGTAACCGAATACCCTGCATATTTACATTATGACCTATATAAAATAACACATTAATTTCATCTAATAAAAAAGTAATTGTCACCGTACTTATGCACGTAACATGTTCAAAGGTATCGATTTTCATAAACTTTCCGATTATATCCGACCTTGGTAGTATTCAGTAAACTCATGATAAGCCTATTTCAGGGAACCGTATTTACCTTTATCTAACCCTATCAATTCAGCTGTATTAGCATGTAGTAAAAATATGCTTTATATTGATTGTCCACAATACATACTTCATTTTCCAAATTATAGGATAGTTAGCCATATCATCAGATTGACTGTATTATTAAATATATATTTGTCATAAATACTACACCTGATTTGTGAAATGGTATATGTACATTTGGATTTATATGTATGTAGGAACATTTTACAGTCGACGATCAGACATTTCAAAGGAAAAAAATATTATAGGTTTGTTTTATTATTATAATAGTTGATTTATTTGATGATTAAAGATTATTAGCTATTGTAAAGTGTATAACAAAAATGCTTGGCCAAACTTTAAATTTATTGACGTATTTCATAATAAAAATTTTGAAAAAAATTCATACAAATATGCATTTTCAAAATTTGGGTTTCAAAATAGGTACTGGATTTTTTAAGTTTAAAGAAAATATGTTTCATTTTTATCTCCAAAAATGGCTGAGCCATTACAGTCGGATTTGGTATTGTAGTTTTCCTTTCTGATTTTCTGCTATCTACAGGCATGTCTATTAATTTTTTGGCTCCTGTCTTTTTATTTCAAGTTATTTCTTATTTTATTGACGAATGCGAGACAATAATACGTTGCATGTCATATTACTTTGCTACACTGTTGTTTCAGGTTTGAAATAAATTATGAAATAAAATACTTCATATGTAAAGGTATTTATAGCCGAAACTAGCACAGCATAGATAATAAAAATATGTAATGCTTAACTAATAATCAAGTTATCTATGAATAAAATAAGGTAAAGAAGTTGTTCATAAATACCGTCGTTGATTTTTTTCTTTTGAAATCAAACACAATTTTTAGCACATTGTTTTTTGTATATGTAGAAACCCGCTTTCTTAATTTATGTCAATAACAATAACGATAACCATAACATTATATTGACATGAGAATGACAACGATACTAACAATAACAATAACAATAACAATAACAATAACAGTAACATTAACAGTACCAATAGCAATAACAATAACAATAACAATAACAATAACAAAAACAAAAACAAAAACAAAAATAAAAACAAACAAACACAAATACAAAGACAAAGACAAAAACAAACAGAAACGCAAAGACATAGGCAATGCCAATGGCAATGGCAATAGACAGTAACAATAATGATAACAACAACAATAACAAAAGCAATGACAATGACAATAGCAATAACAATACAAACAATAATAATAAAACTGATAGAAACAATAATAATATCCTTATTCCATAAAACCTTGTTTATACAATATATCGAAAGTTGTCAGTTTTAAAAAAGATCAAACATACGTTTAAATGTATAACCTATTCTGAAAATTAAAAAATGTATTACACTAAAATTAATTTTACTTTATTTAGAAAAGGAATATAATAATACAGCCCCACCAAAAAAAGTTATGTATCAGGGACATGTGTATATAGATCTTGTGTATTTTTTTATGCTGAATCCGAATCCGTAGCCCTAAAACTGATCTACCAGGGCATTTTTTAGTAAAACGCTGAAATATTCCCTGAAATAGGGTGAAGTACTGAGGATAAGGTAAAGCTTTATAATGAAATGCAACAATTTGTTCTCTGAGGAAACATATTTTGAACATTGGAAAGCAATATACGCAAATTAAATCCACACCCACCCCTACGAAGGGGTTAATTCCACTCCTAAGAACAAATAAGGAATGTTAGTGCAAAACAATGTGAAAAACCATCTACGGATCAGGGTCCCACTTAACCTTTTACCTCTGTTCAATATCTTTGCTTAAATTTTGTTACCGCGGGTTTTTGGGGTCGCTGATTACGAATCTGAAGTCCGAATCCCGATTATTTTCGGGCTGTTAATTCGGATTCAGCATCAAAAAATACACAAAATCTATTTACTCATGTATCTGGTACAGAACTCTATTTTTGTGGGGCTGTGTAATTTACCTACCTTTTTAATATGCATCGGTAACTTATTATATTTATTATTGCTAAACGTATTACACCTATCAATTAATATCAATTTTCTAGTACTTAGTAGTAATTAATTAAAAAAAAAGATATCTTCAGTATAGATTGATCCCAATGATCAAGAAGGTGCAGTACATATAAGAATGCTTATGTTTAAAACTTGAATTAAATAAACGTAAAGTATTTATTTTGTTACATTCTTAATATTAAAAGTATTGGCAAAATTGGTAAAGATTAAAAATATTATTCGAAAGACTTAGAGACAGTAAAGAGTATACGATTCCCGTATAGTTACTATATTATTGTAATGAGATTCGGTAGATGAACTTACTATTACTTTCATTCGTACGTTTATGCCTAAATGTATCACGTTTTAACAAAAAGGAATTTTGTCACGCGAGGGTAACATTTGGACGAAATACTTAAACCTTCCTTCCTTCCGTATAGTAATAAAGTACCTTTTCAATTTAATTTACTTCTCTGCGACATGTCAAACTATGTAAGGCGTAATTAAATATTCATCTGGGCCAATTTCATATTAATGCGAAGGCAATAAACTTTTGTACCCTTGTTTTCTGACACATGTGTACTGAAATTAAATAAGCTGGTTGGCTGAAGTACTATTTAATAATAAACGTTTCTCTAAGGATTGTTTCTATCATTAAATATGTTTTTATATTTTCTTATACCAACAATAGATTGCAAGAAAGGAAACAGGAACATTCACTTTTTTTACATATGTACAAGTTGTATCCTAAGTTTATGTTATAAATTAAAGGGGTGATTCCTATGGTCATTTTAGGCCCAAAAATAAACCAGAGCCCTAAAGTTTCCAAGATAAAGGGCGTTAAAGTTTTTGAAAAATTTCATATTTTTTCAATAATCTCTGAAGCTGTTTGACGTAGATTGACTAAACTTGGGCAAATGATGTAACTAATTAAAGGTAATAATTCGGTATATTTCTATATAAATCTGTCAACTAGTGGCGGAGATTCAGGGGAGCTTTAAAAACCCTCAGAAAAACTACGCCACTTGCATTTTCTTCACACAATAAACCATTTTCGAGTTATAATTTTTTTTGTTCATATTTAATTTTAAAATAATTGCTAACATTTCATGGTTTTGAATAGTGGGCTGTTCTCGTTATTCGATAGACGTCATATTAAATTGACAAGTGATTAAATTACTCAGTTAAGAAATTCAAATGCTATGGACGGATGTTTTCGCCATATATCAACTTTCTAGCAGTTGCAAGTTTTATAAAACACTCTGTATAACACTAAAATGTATCAATAAAAATTAAAAACATATTTTAAAAATTCAAAAATTTTTCAGGAACTGTGAGGCTATCTAGCGGTGATTTAACTGAAATCAACCTATTTGAGAACAGGAATTTATTGCCTTTCATTGTACACGTACCCTGTATAATAAAATAATTTCTCAGATGTATTTATTTTGTCTTAAAACACATAAATAAATTAAACTTTTTCTAATTTAACCTACGATTTCAGAAATATGGATTGAAGTTGCAATGCTTATAAATTTATTTTTATCAAACACTTAGTTTTGCCAATTTGGATCGAATTTGTCCATTATTTATAAAATATCCAAAGCCTCGGCTGCTACTAACATTTCATAAATAAAACAAGTGCTAGTTGTGGTTTTCGCCTGGTTAATTATTAAAATGTCTATTAGCCTCCCGTATGCATAACAATGGATTTACCAAACGTTATATTTTCGACGAAACTAGCGTGAGTTCTCTAGAATTCTTTAGGATCTTAAGTTCATGCAATATAGATGAACCGATTTAACCTTCGAACTTCAACCTTCAGGTTTTCACATAAAACTTATTTTCTCATTTATTAATATTACATAATGTATTGAATCGTGGATAAAATTAATTAATAATTAAAAGGTCATGTTTTTAATATGAATGTATTTTTCCAGAAATGGCAGTATTGAAAGATTTGATGAAGACAATAACCTTCAGAGAATAATAACCAGTTACAGTGACGAAGAAGATAATATCAACGTTGTAGTGAGGTTAGCAATATATAATTTCAATGCTTTATTTGTTTAATGTTTACTTATATTTTCTAAGTATACAGCAACAAGAATAATACATTTTTAGGGTCAGGCCACTTAGCAAGAAGGAAATTAAGTCAGGTGATGACTATGTTGTGCAGTTTCCGGGAAACGGACAAATTTTGGTAAGTATAATTTTTTTCTTTTTGTTTCATATATAGGTACAGATAGGTACAGTGTCGGCCCTTTGAAAGTGGACGACTCTTATAAGCAAATTGTCTATAATTGGCCTTTGTGAAGCTGACTTGAAAATTTAATGTGTTCTATCATACTAGTTCTAGTGAACATTCCATTTTTCTTTGAGTTTAAATATGCTTGCATACTTGCAGATCATCCGCAATGACCATTCTGAAGTAAAGTTATAGCTCTCACTTTCTTTGGTTCCGTTAAATGCGGCATCTTAAATTACCAGGCAAATTACTAATGACGCTGACATATAAAAACTTCATAACGTCATAATAAGAAGAGTAGACCACATCACATTAGAAAAATAAATCGTCCACTTTCAAAGGGCCGGCAGTGTATTATTTTTTATTTCGAGAAAGGAATTGTTAGCGTTGATCAAATAAAATAACGGTTTAGCCCAGCTTTACTTTAAACAATATATCATTTATTAAAAATACAGGGTCTTAATGAACTTATGTCAAATATTTTTGTCACATGTCCGTTATGTCAAAATGAGGTAAATGTAAATACACGGATTTGTATTGAGTATAATGTAATTTTAAAATCTAACTTACCTCAACAATGCAAGGAGCCACCTTTTGAGAACTGCTGATTTTCATAGATGTTCGATGTACCCACCATTTGCTTGCACACAAGCTTCAGCGCGACGTATTCAATTCGCTCGCACGCGTTGCAACATTGCCATGTCCTCTCGGCAATGCATCGTCGCAGTTGATCGATGTCACGAACTTTGGAATACACAACACTTTTCACAGAAAATCGCGCACTCTCTGAAAAAAGTGAGCGAGGGCTTCGTCATGCAGTAACCACATATTTTGCCGAACATTTAATGACACGTCTACCAATAACTCCGGCAAGCGATTTTGCAAAAAATCTAGATATGATGCCCCGTCTAAGCGTCTAGGCAATTCAAAAGGTCCTATTAAAGTGCCATTAACGATACCGGTCCAGATATTCACTGAAAAATGTTGCTGAAAGGCACCGCGACTTATTTCGGGTGGATTTTCTAATAGTCCAGTGGTGAGTGTTGTAGATGTACACTATTTCGACTGGAACATACCTCATGTGTAATAAGTATTAGCGCTGTAAATTGAGGAATTGATACATATTCCTAAAGCAACCGTTCGCAAAAACGTCGACGTAGTGGAAAATCCTCAAGAGTAAGCGCTTGAACACGTTGAATATGAAATGAGTACAACTGAGCTTCTTGTAAGTAATGCCCGGATGCGAAATATTTACTTGCTGTGCGATATTTCTGTTGCTACAGTGCGGATCTTCGACGAGATCTAAAATCATCTCCTCGACATTTAAGATTCTAAGTGATCACCCTGGGCCACCGTCGCGACCTCGACGCGGTTGTACTTCACCGGTGTCCAAAATTCTTTGCGATACCGCAACAAATGTTCGCGGTGCGGTCAAGATATCTTAAACAGTACACTTGACAAGCTCTGTGGGCATTTTCGTTTGCTTCGCCATAGATTATGAGCATGTCATAATATTCGCGATTGTCAAAATTAATGCGCCCATTTTCAAAGGAAAACTTGGAAATACGGCTATTAAATGTACTTTCGAAAAACAGAAAAACAGCACAGCAATCACGGCAACAATGTATTACAAACCGACTTTCAAATACAGTCCGGCTTCATAGGAAACCTACAAACTTGTAAACAGTGTTACAGAATTTATTGTAAGTACTCGCCACGATAAAATACATGTATTTTAGCAGTTCCAAAACAGTTTTAGACATATTTTTAATTAGCTTTTTTCCCTATGACCTTAGACTTCCGATACAAGTTTGTGACAGTTAACTCAGTTTTTGCTCCTATTTTACCCCTTTCAATTTTTGACATAAGTTTATTAACACCCTGTACATTAGCACCATTTTTATTAACAAATAAATGAAGCCAAGATTATTTCTCGTTTAACCTTGTGGAGCGCTCCGACAGTTCTTTACATAATAGAAATAGTTCGAATTGTGTGGGTCTATACAATTATGTAGGTCTATACGATGATGACTATTATAGAAGGTTCAAATTAATCGACCATTCCATTAAAAAAAAACAGCTAAGCGAAGACATATTGACAAAATAGTTGGTTAAGTTGTGTTAGGCTCCCCAGCTTTTACTGGGAAACCACGAATCTGTACTCTAAACTTGGTATTTGGAATCACAATTCAATAACATCAAATTGTTTTTGAATTTTTTTTTGTGTACTTGTCAGACTAACGATTGTCAATAAAAAAA